GGAGGAGGAGGGAGCTGAGGCCCCAAAGTGCAGCCTCGGAGATCAAGGGTCCGCTCCAGAGCCGGGATGTGACGGGACCCGAGGGCGCGGCGGGCAGAGGGATCCTGACCCAGCGGCCCGATCCGGAGGCGGCTGTCCAGTATTCCTCGGACCCGAGCCTGCAGGGGACTCGGGCCGCAGACGCCTCCGCATGCGGCAGCGCAGTTAGGGTGAGTGTGGGTTCTGGCGGGGATGGGGGTGAGCCAGGCATGCGGGATGGGGGCCACCCCGCGCCCAGGGTTAGGCTGCAGGGTCAGGGAGGCTAAGCTGGAAAGGGGGCGAGTAACGAGACCGGGCGAGAACCTCGGGGACGATTAAGGTGACAGGAGGGCAGCGAGAAGTGCCCCAGATCTGGCTGCCGCCTCAGCCCGACTCCCAGCGGTTGGGGCGTGAGCCCTCCTCTCCTCCAAGTAACCAGACAAATTGTGTCTAGGGACCCAGGAGCATAGAAGAGCCAGCGCCAAGGGAACCAGGTTAAGCCGAGGTAGCTTTGAAATTGAAGTTTGCAGAATAGGAAAGGCCATGAAAGAAGGCCCAGCTACTGACGGTGTATATAGTCAAAATTAAAGCAAGGAGCATTATATGTAGATAATGATCGATGATCAAAAATTATCAGAATGTGAGCAAGCAATTACCAAAGAAACGGGCTAAGCAGCATAACTAATGCAGTACTCAGGCTTTAAAACGACAAGACAATAATAGTCACTTTCACAACCAAGTGAAAATTGTACCCACAAATGTAAAAGGATCACAGACAAAGTAACTCCAAATATAGGAACAATGTGATGAGAACCACTGTATTAAAATCAATAGCAATAGTATAAGAAATGGTAATGGTGTAAAAATGATAAAAATGTAGGAAAATGTGACTAAGAAATACTACGCAGGGAAATGGTAATATTAGTAGAATTGACAGAATACTACCATATAATTTATTGCTGATACTATAATGAATTATTAAAATGAATATTAACCCAAATCTTAAGAGCTATGGTAATACAAATAAAGACAGCAAGTAGAATTGCTGGAGTGATATGACAATTTACAACCAGGGTATTAATAGTCCCAACAACATTATAAATAATGGTAGAGTAGTAAGAGCTATTGTACCCATGTGATGAAAATAACCAGAATATTAAGAGCTACAGCAATATTACAAATTATGCCAAAATAGCAACAAGTAATGATGTGATGAAAAATAACTAGGAAATTAAGATCTGTAGCATGGCCAATAATGAGAAGGTAACAGATATCGTAACAATGTGATGAAGACTACCTGGAGTATTAGGGACAGTCCGAACAAAACAAACAATGGCAAAAAACAGCAAGTATTAAGTATTATAAGGATTCGAAGAAAATTAAGGTGAATATTGAGAACAATAATATTCCAAGTATGGTAAATAAGTTTTTGAAACGCGACAAAGCACAGAGACCGAGGAGACATTTTAGGGACACAAATTAAAACAATGCTAGGTTGACAAGACCTATTGGAACACTAGGCCCTAGAATGATGGGCACTGACAGGAAAGCAAGAGGGCCCAGGCTTAATAATGATGAATTAACAAATCAGACCAGTACTTGAACCATATAGTATTAAAGATAAAAAATAGCCAATAATTTATGTGCTAGGATAAATGTTCTTAATGTTGTTGAACTGAGCAGACGACTACTTTGCTAACAGAGAGCATTGAAATACAACAGTCCCCCAGTGCAAGAACAATACCACCGGTAATCTAGAGAGCAAAGAAAACGTTGTTCTTGGAAAGCGAGGCGGCTGAAAGCCACGGATGCGGAGCCGCCCGCCGCGCCCGCAGAGGGTCCAGGAGAGGGGCCAGCGGG